TAAAGAGCAGAGTTGTTCGTAGTCCGCTGCCGATGTTTTCGTCAAATAAACGTTGGATAGCGCGGCTTCTCTCCCTGTGGACATCATCGTCCACCCCAGCATAGTGAACTCAGCAATGGGCTCAGACGGCTGACCAATTCTAGGTTTCGTCTCAGTTTTGATCCTTGAGTACTCGCTGGCGCCGAGTATCACATGAATGGGTAACTCACTCTTCTTGTCATCGTCATCCATGACCACTCCCTGCAGGTGACGATACTTGCTGATCAGTTCTCCATAATTCGGATTTGGGACTGTGAGTAGAACACCCTTGTCCACCTTATTGATCTTCGTCATCATCTCAAACTTCCCATCAACACTTTTAACCGTTACTGAATACCCTTGTACCTTTTTGAACTGTTGAGCAAAGCATCATGTCAATCTGTCTATGTTCGATATGAGTTGGTCGCTTGTTAAGCCGTTCAATCAGAGCCGCTGGACGATAAGAACTACCCGCACCTGTGTCTAGTAATGCTCTGCATTTGATCCCATCGACGAACACCACTACCACGGATAAATAACAGAACCCTCACCAGTTGCCAACATCATTTGACTGTTGCTAGGCAGCCTGTCACAAATAGACGTGTGATGTCTGCCACCGCAATGTTGACAAGTGTACTTGCTGTGGCACTCCGTGCTTGATGTCTTGTTCCTGTACAGTTGAAGCATAGTTTCTTGTCCTCAAGATCTGCCTGCGCTGGTGCAAGCCAGGGACTTTCTTGCACTGGGTGGAGCTGTGATCCTCGCCATTACAATAGATGCAGTTACCCCCACCTTCGCACTCTCATCTTTGGTCTGGTAAGCAGGATTCTTCCTTGCTTGGAAGCGATTTCGCGGGTCACGGTTCGGAGGATAACAACCGCAGGTCAGGCTTTGGCGGTTCAGGTTTAAGGTTTTCGCTGACAATAGGGTTACGGTCACACCACTTTCTCAGGGATTCGATTAGCTCTGCAAATCCCCCACTCTTGCCAGTTATCGTCTAGGCGTACCAGATCCGCTCTGATTCCAGGTAATTTATCAAGCGTCGCACGCACAAACCCTCCTATTTCGTTAACCTTGCCCATGGTCTCTAGCACTTGTATGTGACTTGTTAGCTTCTCGTAGAAATCATGGATTTTTGCTGGGTGTCCACCATGAACTGTGGATAATCCAATTATGCATTGCATATGTGCGTTTGCTACCTCACTGGGTTTACCATACTTGGTTTTCAATATAACTTTGGCCCTTTCGTAACCCTCCGTCGTGAAAGGGAGTCCGTCAATGGACGCCGCGGACACTGGGTACTAGTAACTCCTTCAGGTAAGAAAACTTAGCAACTTGAGTTAGTTTAGCCTTGTCGATTTCAGTTTGAATTGATTCCAAAACCTCATCCAATCCAGGAAAGTCCCTTGAAATTTAGTTATCTCCAGTTTTGGCAATTTCGCTCCGACACTGCTCAAATTCCCAGATTCCTCCGTGGATGCCTTCGCCGTTTTTCTCAAGACTTCGCTCGGCGCTTCGTGTTTAGCCTTTTCAAGCTGAATCTTTTCCTCCAAATTCCGTTTCCGTTTCTCTTCCTCGCGTTTTTCCTCTTCGATTGATCTAATACCGGCAGCTACGTATTCCACTTCTTTAAGAATTCCCTCAAATTTACTGATTTGGCTTTCTAAAGTTTCGGTCCAAAGTCTGAGCTCTACAGGGTCATTCCCACTTTCAATACGCAACTCCTGAACTTCCAATTTGAGCTGATGTGTTTTGTCAATAACGTGCTCCAATGCGCTTCCATGCCTCTCAATTGTCTTCAGGTCTCTCGGTCTCGATTACTTTCGCTGTATCTCCGCTGTAAATTCAAGCATTTTCAGTTTACCTTGAATCTTCTCCTGCATTGTTTTGATTTTCGCCTTCGGCGCTCATGTTGTTGACTTCGGTGTTTCTTCGCTGTGTTTACATGTAAAATTCCTCTCGTCGCTCACTTCTCGCCGCTCGCTGTTACTTTCTCAAATCACAGGTGTCCTGGCAGGGTCGCCACCTTTTGTTGCGATGATTTCAACAAAATTTATTCGTTTCTCGTTTGATAAACTCGCTCGTACTCACAAGGTCGCTCGCTCTTTTTCTCCTCGTGTTCTAGTGCCAAAACCGGTCCCGACCGGTTCGGCTTACGTCACACACGCACCACAGGAACCCCATTTCAGGTCCGACAACAATGAACTTGCAAAAATAATTATTTGGCTTAAAGTGAATAAGTTATCTCTAAATTTGACTAAAACAAATTTTATGATTTTTCATCCAAGGCAAAAGAAAGTCAATGTTAATGTCCCTCTTACTCCGGAAAATACTGTGATCAAGCAAGTCATGGAGACAAAATTTTTAGGTGTTCTCATTGATCAGCATCTCTCTTGGAAACTACATATTGATTTTGTCTCAAAAAAATCTCAAAAAGTGTGGGAATTATTGCGAAAGCCCACTTTTACCTATCATCCCAAACTTTGATGAACTTGTATTACTCCCTTGTATATCCATTCTTAACATACTGTAATGTCGCCTGGTCCTCCGCCTACTGTTCCAACCTAAACTGTATTTACCTTTTGCAAAAGCGTCTAATACGGCTCATAACAAAACTCACTTTCTAGCAAATACCACCCCTTTAATTTATTTAGCCAGCTTAAAGTCCTTGACATATTTAGTATTGATTCATTTTCTGTCGCTACTCTTATGTATTCTTATCACCATAATCTTTTGCCTAGTAGCTTTCGTGACTTGTTCTTAAGTAGTAATCAAGTCCATCAATCATCAGCCTCCTCGAAGGTATATTTAATAGTATATCGTAAGATCGATAAAACATCAAAACTTCCTAAAATGACGTTTTTAGGGCAGGAAACAGTAAGAAGACAACACTTAAGGTGGCTCGATACAGTTTTTCAAGGCCAATACCTACCAAGTTTGAGCATAAACTACGTCGCCATAAACAAAGTTTTGGAAAAATTGCCACCACAGTTGTATTAGATAAAGATGAAAATTTGTTATGATCAGGGTTGCAACAGCATTGGAGTTGTCATAGCAACGAAATGACGCTATTACCTATTTTACTTGCAGCAGTATATCTCAGCACTGGCAATAGCGGCCTCGATGTTCGTGAAGTTTAAGCGAAATCTGTAAGAGCGTTATCGAGATATTTTGGGATGAAGTTTTTATGGTTAGAAACACAGTGAAAAATGGACAATATTGTCGTTTGGCCGTTATCTGTAGAAAATGAAGCGCTTTTTACATGCAATTTCACCTCATAGTAGTTTCAATCTTTTTAAAAACGTGTGTGAAAGATCATGGCAGCCGATTGCTAGAAAGAAGGGTCTTATTAGTATGTATCGAAGCGCTCTTGTTAGCGGTTTTGTAAACATTTTGGTCTTCTTTAACAAATTAGCGAATAATTTTTAAACCGCTCGATAGATTGTTTTGAAAATTTAAGATTCTTGAGATTAACCTTTCTTTTATATGACCTTTTAGTTTCAAGATTATTGATACATTGTAAGGCAGTAAAATAAGGGCTACAATTCGTTACTTTTTTATCAGAAGTTTCGTTATTACAAGTGAAAACCTCTCATTATTCAAGGCATTGTCTCCAAGTTTCATTTTCACGTGAACAACAGTAACTAACAATGCATTTGACATATGCAAAAATGCTAGCTATTGTTATGCGCGAAAATATGAAACTTGGAGACAATACCCTGAATAATGAGAGGCTCACATTTGTAAACACAAAATTTTTGCCAAAATATTGGCGAATTGTAGCCCTTATTTTACTGCCCTACAATATATCAATAATCTTGAAACTAAAAGCTCATATAAAAGGAAGGTTAATCTCAAGAATCTTAAATTTCTGAAAAAATCTATCGAGCGGTTTAAAAATTATTCGCTAATTTGTTAAAGTAGACCAAAATGTTCAAAAACCGCTAACAAAAGCGCCTCGATACATACTAATCAAATCCTTCTTTCTAGCAATCGGCTGGAGCTATCTCCACGGTCTTTCACACACGTTTTTAAAAAGATTGAAACTACTATGAGGTGAAATTGCATGTCAAAAGCGCTTCATTTTCTACAGATAACAGCCGAACATCAAGATTATCCATTTTTTACCGTATTTCTAACCTCAAAATCTTTATCCCAAAATATCTCGATAACGCTCTTACAGATTTCGCTTAAACTTCACGAACATCGAGGCCGCTATTGGAGGAAAAAGCTCCCTTGAATGATTTTGGAAGAACAGTTCCCAGTGCCGAGAAATACTTCTGTAAGTAAAATAGGTAATAGCGTCATTTCGTTGCTATGACAACTCCAATGTCATTGCAACCCTGATCATAAAAGATTTTCATCTTTATCTAATACATCTGTGGTGGCAATTTTTCCAAAACTTTGTTTATGTCGACGTAGTTTATGCTCAAACTTGGAAGGTATTGGCCTTGAAAAACTGTATCGAGCCACCTTAAATGGCAGCTTATGTGCATTTTCACCGTATTATCGATCTTATGATACATTCCCACATAAATCACGTCGTTTCTCATTCACAGGACTTAGATTCCTTCCACATCACAAATACGGCGAATAAGTTATTTCCGGTATTCCAGGGTTTAGTTCATTTCATTTCAAATGGCATGTTTATGTCCTAATATTCGCGCGCGCCGTACAAACAACGTATAAGACAATGTCCCTGTGCAATGTCCCACCGCATTTAAAACTTTCTTTGCTGAAGACAAATATTAGTCGGTTACTTGTTATTATCGTACATCGATAACCTATTAAGAAGGAAAAGAAAAAAGAATCGTACCTGGAATTCGAAGCCATCGTTTTGTTCATCATCTTCTGGAACGCAGCTTCGGAACGAGGCTGATGTAGCTTTACGCGGGAATTATCAACCTCGTACCCAGGCCTAGGATTGGGAAAGCTGGGACCGACTTGTTCACACTTCGTGTTCACATACATACAGAACAGTTCCAGTCTCTACCAAAAACAAGATGGCGGAAGATGAGCCACATCGGGGAGTTTTAAAACTTTTACAAGCTGTTGTTCGTTGAAGCATGTTCTGAAAATGAAGCTGGTTGCGAAGAATTTTGAAAAGGACAGTTCTGGGTAAGTAATAAATGACTTTTTTGCAACACAATGAATATATGTACAGCAAATACATAAGCCAGTTACTTATGGCATAGAGGAGGGGCAAGGGGGGTTCTCATCAGGAGTTCACGAAGAACAATTTAGCGTTTCACGAGTCACGAAACAAATATTTGCGTTTTGACGCTTCTCAAAAATAGAGGTCGAACAAAATGTCAAAAACGTTACAGTAATCCAATTTTGTAAAACAGAGTGCTTCAATTGATGGTTTTCACGGTGACGTCATCAGATTGCAAAGTCAAAAAAGCGAGGTTTTACGAATTCTTTTTTACACTAGGTTGAAGATTAATAGGAAATAAATCTTTGTACAAGTTTCCAGCCCCGAAGCATGTTTCATTTCGAAAATACAGCAGTTTGAACTTCCGAGTTTTCACGGTGCGTGACACCAAAATAGGAATGCTATCTCCTTGAAAAAAGTCTCTCCGCTTGATTTTCAGCAGTTTAACCATTTCAAGTATTAGAAGATATGTTTATGCGCAAGTATGCTAGTTCTCAAGTGAAAAGGAGGAGCTTTTATAGAAAAAGTGAACTCCAGATGTTTTTGTTGATTTCTGGCGGCCATATTGGTGGACAGTTTCTGTCCACCAATATGGCGTCTCCATACAAAGCTCTACAAAGGTGCGTGAAATGTTTCGGCAACTAACTCAGAAACTGTGGGCCACAAAGACCTGAGATTTGGACAAATTGTTTATATATTAGTCTTTTATAACATTTCATTTTCTTGGCTTCTTCCACTTGACGGTTTCAAATGTATTTTTTTGTGCCGTGTTTATTGCGTGACCGTGAAAACGAAGAATTATATTTAAGAAAACATATTTAAGATAATATTTCCAATTATATTAAAGGTAACTGGAGTTTTACGAACCTCATGAAAAACACTTGGCGGCTATAAATTTGCTCGGGAAGCCAGCTGTTGGTGGGTCTGAGCGCACTGAAGTGTGAAGTTACATCAAAAGCCTTGAAAGGAAAGTTAAATCAAGCCACCAGATGCTAGTTAAGGCTGTTTGGCCTCAATATGTCAGGGTTCACAAATGCGCCAAATTTGGCGTATTTAACACCAAAATTGTTCAAAACCTTAATTAAATAATCAAAATTAAAGAATTATACTGCACGACAAAACATGCCAGGAAGAGGGTAAATCAAGATTAAATTTTACTCGATGACCGCCATCATGGATTTGAGCTTTCCAGGTCAGTGGACCGCCACAGCTACTTCGTGTACCCTCACGATAGTGAAAATGTTGTGGTTCAGTTTTATCCTGGTTTAAATTTTATTTCCTTTTGTTTTGGGTAATGGTAATATATGATAGTGAGTTTGAAACAAAAGAAATTGAAATTTAAACCAAGGATAAAATTGAACCACAACATATACGTGCCAGGACCACGTGCTGGAAAGTCTGATACTTGACTCCAAATATTCCAAAATGACTCCAAAATTTGTTAAGCAGAAGTCACACTGACTTAACTCATCAATAAAATTTGCAAACCCTGGTACATTGACTTCAACATATGTGTAAATAATCAAGGATTTTGACAGTTCAGGTTTCACAGAGTGCACTTCAATCCCGATGGTTTATCAGTACATCACGATTCATGAACACCAAAAATGGTCGATCACAGCATCAAAAAAATTAGCTTGCCCCCATCGGCAAAGCTGTATGGGGATCTTACTGTAGTATGCTCTTTACTAAACTTGAGAAAATTCATGTCCCTGCCGCACAAATTACACATAAAGAAGACTGGTTAACCCCCTCTGCACCAATAGGTATACAAGAACTTTTCCAAAAATATAACTGCAAATATGATCTCAGAAAAAAAAAATGTTTTATCCTCCCCAAACGTACCTCAGACTTTCTAATAAAACCAGTCAGCTCAACCATGGAATAGCCAGCCCAATGAGCAAAACTTAGCCTCCTTCAAAGAGGTGCTTAAAAAAGTGATAACCCAGATGCATATTATTTTAGAAAGAAATGTGAAAAGCTGCCTGGTTCCAAACAAAATGATTTTGGTTTTGTTGGGGTTAATCAGCAGTTGATTTGAGTAGCAACACTTGGCAACATGGCGGAGGTCTCCAGTGATATTTTCAAAAGAGAGGAAACATGTCAAAGCATCGTAATTATTCATATACCACTTTATGGACTGGCCCACTGATGGATGGATGGACTAGATACTTTATGGTCTGGCCTCATGGATGGACATACAGACTGGATACTTTATGAAGTGGATTAAGGACAGACAGACTAAATACTTTATGGAGTGGCCCTATGGAGGGAAACACGGAAAGGATACTTTATGGACTGGCCTCACAGAGGGAAAGACAAACTGGAGACTTTATGGAGTGGTTTACGGATGGACAGACAGACTGGAAACTTGTACTTTATGGACTGGCCCATGTACAGATGGGCTGAATATTAATTTTGATGGACTGGCCCACAAATGGAACACCCCTCCAAGTTGCGACCATTTTAGGGCGCTTTCCAAAAGTCAGAGCTGGCCGGTCAGACCAGACATTTTGACAATGAAATAGGCTTTTTCTATGAGATTTTGCGGAAAAACCATCTCCTTTGTGCGTAAAATTTAGGATTTGACGGATCTGGATGGTTAGTTTTGATTAAAAGTGAAATTCTCATTGCGATGGGAACGGGCTGGCCGGTCAGTTCTGACAAATGGAAAGCGCCCTTAGTCACCATGGTGCCTAAAATTTTGAAGCTGGCAACTTGATTTGTAAAAAAGTCTCCAAATTAAAAGAATTGGTCACTAAAGGGTGACCAAGAAAAAACTTTAACTTGGAGGGTTGTGGAAGGACTGACTGAATACTTTATGGACTGGCCTAACGGATGGATGGATGGACTGGATACTTAACTATGGACTAGCCTCACAGATAGACAGACAGACTAGATACTTTATGATCTGGTTCACAGTTGGACGGACAGATGGACCTTCCTTTTAAATATTTCTCACTATCTGAGTAAAAAGAAGAAGAAGAACTCAGAGTGGGAGACAATTGCAGGACATCAACTGACAGAAAATGCGAGAGATAACGGAAAAAATATCACCTGTACCTCCAAGTACTAATTTACTTCATGTTGTAATGTTAAATTTTCAATTTTTCTAGGTCTGTGGTACTTGTGCCGGAGGAGGCTGAAGATATGTGGCACGCTTATAACCTGATAGCTGTGGGGGATCGGCTTAAATCAACAACTATTAGGTACAATCAGAAAATCATGTGGTAGCTTGATCGTCTTTTTGTATTAGGGTAAACAATGAAGAATTAATCCCCATTGTACTTATGATATTATCATGTGGTTAACTGAAAAAGGATAACATGATTAAATATGGAAGTGTCAATAACAACTACAGGGGTAAATGGAGGCTCAAATGGTGGCAGCTGGGTTTTGACTTCCCCTACTTCATTTCAGACCTGAATTAATGGGTGAATGATAAAAAGCATACTCAATTCAAGGCCCTGATTCCAGGAAGAAATTTAGCCTGTGTACAGAAAAAAAATCGGAGAAGGGGCGTCTGTGGTTCACCATTACTAGTCGTTTATGAGAATAATCTTGCATAAAATTAGAAAAATAGTTTCCACCAACCACAATTTCTGTGGCTCATGTTTCATGTCATACTAGCTCTCAAAATGCCGGTGCATGCGACTTATTTCCATCAAGCAATTGAGAGAGGGAGACATTTTTAAAATTGCTTTACTCTATACCAAGCAAGAAAAATGTTCTGACAAGCCCTTATTGAAGGAAAAGATCCATGATCTTATGCAAGACTTCCTTAACCTGTAACATATAACTTCTCTAGGGGAGTACCTCCAAGGGATCTCAAGGACCAGGTAGAGTAGTGTTAGGTAGGGTGTGTAAGAAATTACGGGATAAAATGTTTGCTTATATTTATTTTCTGTCAGACGTGTCCAAACTGAGTCTGCTACAGGATCAGTGAGTAGCAACAAGGTTAGAACAACATTGGCCATAGCAGTGGAGGGCATTGAGTTTGACACTCAGGCGTGCATGTTAAGGATCAAAGGACGTAATGTAGAGGAAAACCAGTATGTCAAGGTAAAGAAAATAAAATTATCTAATGAATCATAGACATCTAGCAGGTTTATCGAAGAGATATTGAAACTATGTGCCACCTAATATTCCAAAAATATGACCATCATTATCAAGGCATAGGAACTCGATGGAAAATTCTGATGATGGTTTAAAATTTCTCACTGTTGCTACTTCCACAATATTACTGATGATGATTTTGTGTTTTCTTTATCTTAGAATTTGATTTAGTCGCTGTAATTTAATCCCTTAGAAATTACATTTCTAATTAGATTGCTAATACTGTGAGCGGTTTTTACATGTTTTAATGGACACCACTTGTTTTCACCTGGTTGGTGTACACTTTGGTTGTGGAAATCACAATTAGTTGTTTTTTCAGTAAGTAAAATTATTGATATTTGCAATCACACAACTGATAACCCGATCAAACTTCTTCCTTTGTTCAATAGATGGGTGCCTACCATACGATAGACTTGGAATTAAACAGAAAATTCACACTTCTCAAAGAATACTGGGATTTGATAGCCCTTGAAAGAGTAGGTGAGTACTCTACCACAAAAGTTGCCGTAAAACTCCTGCTTCAAGTGCTACAACTCTTCCTTGAATACAGACTGTCTAACCATCCCTATCTTGTCAGTTTTCTGCTGATTTTGCTCGAAAATCCCTAATCCCGACCAATATGCGATCGGGCTAGGAAAATTCTGGATAATGAGATTTGCTCTGATATTTTCCAATAAATTCTTTTGATACTTATACTGGAACACCTAACAGAATCTACTTAACTGAAACTGATATCCAGAAATCTTTTAAAATCCGCAAGAAATATAAATATAATCGAGTACTTGTACATGAAACCGCACAAACATAAATTAGCATGAACATGACAATTGATTTAACAAACATTTTAGACATTCTAATCCGGTTCAGAATTTCCTATACCTCATAGCCCTAATCATTCTTTGAAGACAAAAGACAATTTTGTTTCAACTTCAGAATGAACTTTATCGTCAGCACAAACTTTTTCATGCCTAATCAGGGTATGTATTTTAGAATTTTTTTTGTCCTAAACAGGGACAGGGTTTCAAACCCTTGGCAGCTTACCTACACCCAAACATTGGTCAAGTAACCCCCCATGTTACACTGTAGGATTTAAGCAGTTTAGATTTAGCCTAGAGACAACTTTATTGGAAATGAATTTTAGTGTTTAGCATAGAAAATTGATGAGCATGTTTTTTCAGTCTCACAATGGAAGGTCAAAGCTTATTTTGTTCTTCAGTTCCCTTGATTCTTTTTTTTATTATTGCTCTGATGAATGAATATGTTGTGTTTCAGAGATGGCATGTGATCCAACACAGCATGCTGATCTGGGAGCCATCTTGCTTCATGAAGGTACCAATGATTTTTATTTCAAGCTGTTTGGTGGTACAAAATATGCCTACCCACCCCATTAGTGGATGGTTGATAACAATTTCAAGGGGGAGGAGGAGATCTAAGGCCAAAATTTTTCAAGAAAAGTATGAAGTTAAAGTATAATTTCTGGGTTGGGGTGGGGAGCGAAACTAATAATAATACCATCTACTGGGGGTATGAATATTTTCTGGATGATTGTATTATTGTGAGAGGTTTAACCCAGGAGTCATATATTACATAACTAGGTTGAGTATGATCGTCCGAGTGGAAGTAGTCCTGAATAGTACTGTTGTTTTTGACACTGACAGACTGGTATTGTGTACTAAACGAACAATGTCATTAAGAATTCTCTTAACTATAACCTCCTTTTTCAGCTAATTTCCATTGTTGTTGTTGTTAAGGTTTAGGTCACATTATGTTGGTTACCTCAAGCATGACAATAGTACGAGCCAAGATTGATATGAACATACCAAGAAAAAGGAAAGGCTTCTGCAGCCAACATGACAAGGTCAGTTGAATTTTACTTTGTGTTTAATCTCGATGGTAATCTGAAATGTCTCTAATGCAGCAGCATCACACCAAATACTGTGGACCCATAACATTTCCTTTCCCTTCATGAAAGATACACCACAACACCAGGATGTATTTGCCCTCTCTTTCTGAACAGCAGTCTGTTCCTTTATGTCCCCTATGATATGATAAGGAGGCCAAGGATAGAGGAGACCAGGCCAATGGCTTTACATCACAGGGCTTTCATTAAGAATTCTAGTAGCAGCAGAAATGTGTAACATTACAGGAGAATATTTTAAAAGAGGCTTGGTGTCTGAATAAAAAATAGTCATAGGCTTTTGAACATTAGCCATAGAATTCTGCGTAGTAAATAGATCTCCAATGCCTAATGAATACCCTGGGTCACTGTGTAATGACATCATAAGCTGAACTGATACATGATCTAATTGACAGTCATGATCTAGTTAGATTTTTGAAATCCCTGTTTTGTGGTCCAGCCAGTGTTTTGAAACCTCAGGTGACCCAACAGCAGACTAGCCTCCCACGACATTCTCGTGTTCCTGCCCCACGAACATTGGGGAGGATATTTGTGTTATGAGCCAAAAGGATGTCTGGAGACTAACAGCAGACCTGCACTCTTTCAACTGAACTGAAAGGGTGGCTCAGTCAGGGTCAGGCTCAGCAGTGGCCAATGTGTAAAGAAAACATTTTCCACTTATTTCATTTCACTCAGAGGAAAATTACACTTTTAACCAACGTTTGGCTTTGCCCTGACGTGTTGCCAACTGAAAAAGGGAAAAATATAGCTTTCCTTCCCCCACCCCCTCATTGCAAGTTTTGCCTGAGTTTCTGCCACCTGTAGATAGCAACAAACACCCCAACTTTAAATGGAGGGGAGGGTTGTGGATTGTTTTGTTCTCTGAAGGAATCCCCATCTGTTGCCAGTTGTAGAAATTGACATGAGTTTCTGCAATTTTTTTTTTTTACATAATTATGTGTATTGAGTAGACACCTCCAATTTTAAAAGTGGACACCAGTGACCAAGGGTCCTATGGTTTCTTTACTTAATACAGATTACAATGAATACTCGTTTCCCTAAAAGTTCTAAAGTGTAATTTCTTTTGCAGGGTTTACTCAGGTTTTATGATGCTATAATACAAGGTGTGCTCAGACATATAAACTTTGATGGTAAGTTGAGTCTGTAATATGCAGATAGTATATTTAGATTTTTGCTCACTTCTGTTGACATGGTTAATATTACTGCCAAAAGAAACAAAACTCTTAACTCTTTTTCCCTTCATGTTATTACTTAAGTTTCATGACATGATTTCCCTTTGTTTTTCTTTATTGCTTTGTCCCTCCCTTGGCAAAGCTAATGGAAAGAAATAATAAAAAAATACATAAAACTGCATGTCACATTCCCATGATGAATAATCAAGGTGTTTGAAAGAAACAGTTTTCTAGAGAAACATCACATCATGTTCTGCAATGAAAAACCAGAGATCAGTCTAAAGAGGTCTGTTCATCTTGACAGTGAATCTGGGTCTGTTTGATTTCTCTAAGTGGAAAGACCTGTTCTTTTTCCCAGATGGAATGTTGTTTCTTGTGTTAAAACTGTCAAAACCAATTACCTCAGATTGTACAAAAATGTGATTATCAAGGGCACAAGATTAACATTAATGTTAGTGTGGAGGAAAATTTTTGTCCCTTATTCAGTTCCTGGAGTTTTTCTTTGCAGTTGTAAAGTGTGTTCTTGTTGCAAGTCCTGGCTTTGTTAAGGTTTGTATTTAATTTGTTGCTAAAATTGCTCATTTTCAACATTTAGCTGGTAAACTACCGTTGTCAAGACGTCTTGGAACACTTGAGGAAAAAAGGTGCGAAGATGCACTTTGCTAAATTAACTAGTATTCTATGTCTTACAAAAGCAGGGGAATGTTTTTTATTAACCCTTCAGGTAAGGGCCTATTCCTGCTGTCCCCCGCTCCCCCAAGTAATGTTGTTTGTGTTGAAAAATCTTGACTTGAATGCATAACATCAACACTGCATCAGTGGGAGGGGGTAGGGAAATTGCATCATCTTGACAAGCTATTGCTTTAGTGTCTCAAGAGTTTTGACCAGTGTGGTAAGGCTAAGTGCAGATTTCAGCTTCACTCGTGAATTGTTATGTGATCCAAAGTATTTTGATGTATCTGTCCTGCAACCATACATGTAGTAGGACAGAACTTTTGGAGCTTCAAATAATTTATTTTGTTAGTTCATTGCATAAAATGTCAGTGTGTATTTTATTGCAGTGGGAAATTTTTTTTCATGTAGTTCAGAAACAAGTTGTTCTTTTTTTCCTACAATCTTCTATAAAAGCCTGAAGATATTTTTTCCAGACCCTTCCCCCACTGCACATCTCACACTCCACACCCACCTTTCCCTTACCCTTGCTCACCTGAAAAACATAATCCCTGTTATAAGTAACCATGGCAACTCATATACTCTGTTTACAACTAACCTTCTGTGGAGCATTTTCACTCATCTGTGGAGCATTTTCCTTCATGTGGCCAGGATCTATGCAAATTTATTGGAACGAAAGAAAGCGTTTAAATAAGAAAAGAGTTCAACTCCCACAGGATTGTCTTGGTACACCAACATGGCCGCCGTTTCATTGCTTTGGAACACCAATATGGCCACCATGATGTCATGTGAAAACGCTCTATAAATGCACTGAACCCTTTAATACAACTTGGCCCAGGTGTTTAACCACAACTTTCTTTTGACCATTCCAGGAACAGTTTTGTGATTACATGTTTCAACAAGCAATAAAAAATGAGTGGAAGGCAATCACTGAGAATAAATCCAAGTTTATTTTGGTAAGTCAGAAAGCATGAAATAAAGGTAAAATATTGTTATTGGATTCTTTGTCTGATTGTGTATCTAACAATTATTCCTCGAGCCCGAATGGGCTCTGAGTCAATAGCCCATGAGGCCAAAGGCCTGATGGGCTATTGACTCAGAGGCCATGAGGGCGAGAGGAATAAATTTTTTTAGTAAAATCGAACCAGTTGGTCAAAAATATTGATAATAAAAAGAATTTAGCTAGTTAAAGCTAGACTTTAATCCTTTTTTGCCGCCAAAAGTGCACACTTTTCGCTACTAGTAGGAGATAACATATAGCCTAGTAGTAGCTAAACCAATCAGAATGCAGCATTGATAATAGACCACATGTTAAATTTTACTAATTATAGATATTTCTTAGTTTTTTGCCTTTTATTATAGTTGTATAGGTAGTTGCAAGGCGAGTGCTACAAATTTTATATACTTTTATTAACTTTATTAGTTATTTAGTTATTGTATCTAACCCAACTTACAGTTAATTTATGGCATTGCAATAATTATTACTATAATAAAATGGCGGTTGTGTTTTATTTCAATCTAGGTCCATTCTTCTTCAGGTCATAAACATACCCTTAAAGGTGCGCAATATGTACTAAATGATTAGAAAATTCTTTTCAAATTGTCATTACGCGTGTATATCTGGCATGTTTCCTTGTAGACTTGTAAGGGTTGTACTTTGAGTTGTTGCCCACAGCAGCACTTTTCAATGCATAACTCAAAAGCTGTGAAAAAACAGGGACCTTGTTTCTCTAGGAGGATAGCCTGCACAAGTGGTGCGAATTTATCCATGTGTGACTGCTTCATTCCATGGGCACTTTAGCTTGCTTTAAAGTCACAAGAAGAATGGGGATGAATCAATTGGAAATCCCTTGGGATTTTCTGTCATCTAGTCATGCATAACCTAAAAGCACCAACCAACTCTGATCCCGCCAGCTGCGTAAACTACTGTGATGGCAATTAAAGAGGTCTATTGCATATGTCCATACACAGAAGAGAACCTAAAGTCTAAGTACCACCATCTGTAGCTGTACAATGTCTCAATATGAAGCACCCTGTCTGAACTCGTTGATCTTCTAAGGGAACATAAAAGCAATGTTCACCAACTCTCACAACCAACCAGAACCCTCACAACTAGCATATACATTTTTTTTATTTATTTACAGAAGTTCTTGCTGATCCTGCTGTTACTGCCAGGTTAGCAGACACAAAGGTAAATAGTAGAGACAGGAAAATGTTTTCTGTCCGCAGGTCCAATGAATTCATAAGCAATGGCCTGAGTGAGACTTAAGCTTTCGATTCCATCATGGATGTGTATGTCGATAAATTTCTATCCAGGGAGAGAATTAAGTAACTCTTTCTTCTCTAATAATTCCTAGATAGTTTATGTGTAGTTTTCCTACCCTTTTCTATTCTTCAACTCATGAAATTGACACCCTTTTATATACTGCCAGCCTGAAAAAAAAAGGACAGTCAAACCCCATTGTTATGGACATCGAGGGGACCCTAGTGTCCATAATAATGGGGTGTCCGTATTAAGCGAGTTCAGTTTAGAGAAAATGTGAGGAATTGCTTTCCTCAGGAACAAGGAAAGTGTCTGTAATAATGAGGTGTCCATATTGAGTGTGTGTCCGTAAAGCGGGTTTCCACTGTACCCCTTTCCGGTGGAGCATTCCCTGATAGTCTCTTATACATAAGCAGGCTAGATACAAGGAGGGTCAGAAAATGAATAGCCTTTTTTATTTTACATGCCATAGGCAGCAGGTGAAGTCAAGGCATTGGACACTTTCTTTACGATGCTGCAAACAGAGCCAGATAGAGCATATTATGGGTATGTACATTATTTCTTGCTTGGATAGCATGCTACTTGATACTTGCCTTCTGACAGCTGTAGATATATACCCTGTTTATAGGAAACTCATCCTAACCAACAACCAACCGATTATGCAGTATTTACAGGTGTTATTTAGCAAGTAGAACATGAAGCAAGCTTTCAACGTGCCACATCACGGTTCATTGTTCACGATTCACGCTTGGGAAGCAAGGGTTGTGCAGTGGTGAGGGCACTCGCCTCCCACCCAGGGTTCTATCTAGGATATTTGAGAGGTAGAAGCTTCCCCCCCAAAATTCCAGGCTTCCCCCCCTCAAAAAAAATATTGCTATCATTACCAGTATATAAGTAACTATATCGGAAAAATCATCCAGAAGTGTCAAGGTCAGTGCTTATAATGAGTTTTAATAAACTCATTATTATTCCCCTGTTCTCCTTGTTCCCCTTGTTTCTTTTTCCCCCTGTTCTGCTATTCCCCTTGTTCCCCCTGTCCTCCTGGTCCTCCTGTTCCACTGTTCCCATTGTTCCCCTTGTTTTCCCTGTTCCTCTTGTTCCCTTGTTAACCCTGTTCCCCTTTTCTCCCTGTTCCCTTGTTCCCCTGTTCCCCCTGTTCTGCCTGTTCCCTTATTCCCTTTGTTTTCCCTGTTCCCCTGTTCCACCTATTCCCCTTGTTCTCCCTGTTCTCCCTGTTACCCTTGTTCCTCTGTTCACCTGTTCCTCCTGTTCTCCTAGTTCCCCTATTCCCCCTATTCCCCATTTCCCTTTTCCCCTTGTTCCTCTGTTCCCCTGTTCCTCTTGTCCCCCTATTCACCTGTTCCCCCTGTTCTTCCTGTTCCCTTGTTCCCTTTGTTTTCCCTGTTCCCCTGTTCCTCCTATTCCCCTTGTTCTTCCTGTTCTCCCTGTTACCCTTGTTACTCTGTTTCCCTGTTCTCCCTGTTCCCCTGTTGTTCCGTTTCCCTGTTCCATTGTTCCTCCTGACCCCCCCTGTTTCCTCCTTTTCCTTTGTTCCTCCTGTTCACCTGTGCCATCAGAACTCCTTGTTCCCCTATTTCCCCCTGTTCCCCATTTCCCCTGTTCACCTGTTCCTCTGACCCCCTTTTCCCCTTGTTCCACCTTTTCCCCCTGATCACCTGTCCTCCTGTTTTCCTTGTTCCTCTGTTCCCTTGTTTCTCCTGTTTTTCGCGTCTCCTCTCTCGCGTGCCTCTCGCGCGTCTATTTTTCATGATATCTCCCAAATGAAGAGCTTGCTCGGAGGCTACACATTACATTTCTTGATACACTTTACAATTACATGGTATGCCAAATTTTTAGATGTTTTTGTTTGGTATATCTTTAGCATTAATCACGTGGAAAAGGCCAACGAAGCAATTGCTGTAGAAACACTTCTTGTCACTGATGAACTTTTTAGGTGAGAGAAACATTAGGGCCATTTATACGAGGAAAAATAAGACGCGAACTTTCCGTGTAAACGGCACATTTCGTCTAAAATAAGACTCGGCTTAGCTAAGACGCGTCTTATTTTAGAACAGCCCTTAACACCTGTTCTTAGATAACACGCGTCTTCACGCATGTGGTACCGTAAATGACCTAATAAACACCCGGGGCGTCTACTCCCCGCTCGCACTCTGCGCTCGTTCCCATCATCCCCCTCTTGCTCTTGTCCCTTGTCTCCAACTCTCACGCTTGTTGCTTGTTCCGTGCTCCCCATACCCTGGGTACCAGAGGTTTTTCTCGCTTGTGGCGGGAATTTTCGGTGTTGGCCGAAGGCTGACACATCTCCGGCTGTAGGCCGAAGCCACGAGCGGCGGAGCCGCGAGAAAAACGCGCGGTCACTATAAAGACTTGACAGAAATCGGAAACCGCGCTAGAAAAGTCTCTGGCACCCAGGGTATGCTCCCCACTAAGGTCTGGGAAAGCCTTTGGAGGAAGCAGACACCAAACGCTTCGATTAATGTCTCACAGGCTCAAAAGTTAGAAATAAAAGTTGCTTTAGAATTACTGGAAAATTGCTTTAATCCTCTCTCGCAAATACCTGAAGAAAGGACATCACTAAATAATGATGTGGTAAAAGTCGTGCTTACTCTTATTAGTATCGCTGACTGAAAACTTAGTTCTCTGTTTTCCTTAGGTCAACAGACTTACCCACGCGCAAACGATACGTCAAACTTGTTGAAAGCGTTAAAGAAAATGGCGGGGATGTCAGGTAACAAAATGTCATGATTTCTTTCAGTTTTAGGATGGTTTTCAACTGGCCCTTTTGCTTGACACGTGCTCGGTTTTGTGTTGAATTTGCCTATGGAAGTGTTTTGTATTACCCTAGTTTACTGCGCAAGCCCGTAACAACCAATCAAATGTTACGCTAACCAGATGCAATAGCGTCACCCGAAACAGTCCCATGATGCAATCTGACACAAGACTGACCCAGTCCCACGCAACCTAGTAACAACTTGTCAAACAAGTGATAGCGTCACCCAAAACAGTCCCATTATCCCATGATACAATCCCACACAATACCGACTCAGTCTCACATGCAACCTCTACACTGAATCTTTCCCTATTTCTCGCTCTCGCATCTTTCGCGTGCCGCCTACGCGTGACCTCTCACGATATTCCTTAATTTGAGAGCTAATTGCTGGCGGGCAAAGTGATCAGATGTAAACATTACTTCAGCAACCGTAGCGATTGTACCGATTATGTTACACTTGACCAGAAGGCGACTTTTTACTGATTATGAAAGGCGGAGGTGACTCAATATAATCGACCTGAACTAGTTTAAAACTAAGCAGCTGGCACTGGGTAAAGGCTATTTAAAGCCTTTTAATCCTTGGTGTTTGCTGGGTAAATTAGACTCGCGTTTGTTGTTGTTGTTGTTGTTGTTCTTATCATGTTGTTGGCGGTTTTGTTTCAATCTTCCAGGGTGTTTTCAAGTCTGCATGTTTCAGGAGAACGTAAGTACATCCTCTGCATTAAAGATAAAACAGATCTTTTAATACTTTCATTGCAAAGCAATTGGGATTTTGTTTTGGAAAAACAGGGATTTGAAAATAAAATACTCGCATGCAGCAGTAAGTGGCCGCCTGCCCTTCCCCTAACCCAACATTTTGCTTTAAATAAGAAGCTAACGTTGCGTTTAACCTCCTTGACATGGATTTTTCCAATTTTCTAAGTGAGAAAGCCCTGGGAACGAGGTTGAGTTAGGGGAGGGGTAGGCGGGTAGTTTCTCAGAATCTTGTATCACTTAAAGTAGGTTTCCTCGTCAGAATAATGGCACGAACTATTTGATTTTCCAGTAGTAATATCCTGTTACCCTATGGAAATACTAAGTATCCCAGTTCTTTAACTGACTTTAACGGCTTTCTCTTGGCTTTAGTGTGACTTGAACAAAAAATATTTCTTTGAATGAAACGTGATTTTCCTTTTTCTCTGTTTTTGTTTGTTTGTTTTTAGAGCTTGGGCAGTTGTCGGGTGTTGCAGCCATATTACGATTTCCAATGCCAGACATCGCTAATGATGAGGACTCGGCAGAGGAGTCTGAAGAAGACTAATATAACATTAAATATGAAATATAGAAAAGGAAAGAATATGTTCTCATTAAAACGGGAGAAATTATCAGTAGCTTTCGATGAAGCTCAATCTGCCTCCTCCACAGGCTTTTCCAAGGCTTAGCGGGGGAAAAGGCCCGTGGGGACGAGCCAATAAAGTATGTATGTATTTATGTATGTAAAAGGGACTGGAGACAAGCGAGAAGCGCGAGTAGGGGATGATGGGAACGATGGCAGGGCGCCCCTTCGCCCCAGCTTTCCTTTATAACAGGCTATTTTCACCTTGAAAACATTTGACTACAACTACCAGAATTCATTTCGTTTTTGCTTTCTTATTTAAATTTGCCAATCCAGCTGAGGCCGGGTCTAAAAAGCAATAGCCTTAATATGCACAAGAAGACAACAAACTGAAGGATTCTGGTTGTTGTAGTAAAATGACGTCATCTGACAATTGTCCTATTGACTCAAATATCCCCTAAAAGAGCGATAGCGAGCTACTGGTGAATTTTAGTAGCGCTTAGCGCCTACTTTTTTTGTTGTCATCAAAATGCCAGCCAGAGGCACATTGGCTCTCAAACATTTTTCCTGTGTTTTATTTGTTTGCACATTTGAATAACAAGAGTAATGCTTTCAAATTTGAAATATCGCCACAGACGAAAACTGTTTACCAAGCGAAACGAAAAAAAAGGTTTGGTGTATCTTTCAGCGTCATTAATAATTCATAATAAGGGCCGTAATTAAAGGAGGTTGGGATATCAGAAACTAATCACTACAAAATTTGAGAATTTCAGCGTGGAATTTCGTGAAAAAAATTCGTTCTTCAGTTTCATCCCGTACCGTAAACTTACGAACTTACAAAGGCAAGGCATACGCAGAATCAAATGTCATTAATATAAAAAGTCGTGTATCAGAGCTAGATTATTAGTTACTCTGACATCGGTGTGATATATTTTATGCCGAGTGAACGATTTCTTTGCATGCTTCTGTTCGCCTTACTCACTCTGGCGTTGTTTAGCCTCAATTCGATCTCCCAGTCCATTGCTAGCGTTATTACTTGAATGTAACTTTGGCCAGATTTTTCAGCACATTGTGTGATCTTTCCTCAATGTAGGCGGTGACCTCTTACAAGCAACGCTGAGTCATTTGAGTTCTTTTTGGTGGGAGATCTTTTGTTGGCTCGTCTTCTTTTAAGCAAATTCTACCAAATAAACTCAAGTCTCTTAGAATTTAAGGTGGCTCGCAACCGCTTCCACCATTTCACGGCTTTCAGGAGTACTACCATACCATACCAGTTGTTGCCCCGATCATGACAGGAAAATCAAAAGACATTGAGAGAGAAAGTGGAGTACAATGAAAAAAAATGTCACCATTGCAACAAATTAACTTGAACCATCCTCAAACCTGGTTGTATTAAAGAATTAATACCTTTTAAGGTGGCTCGACTGGATTTTTTGAGGGGGATAACTCCCAAGTTTGAGCTTTAACTAAGTCGGCATGAGTAAAGATATGGAAAAAAGGTTAGCACAACGTTCCCAAAGCTTGTCATTTTCTTAAAATATTAGCGAATTGTGCGGCTAGCATGCTATTTCACTGCTTTGATGATTCTTAAAACTGCATTTCGAAATATCTCGAAAACGCTCTCATAGAATTTCTTCAAACTTTGCCATAATGGAGGCAATCATGGCAGGCACATACTCCCTTAAGCGATTTCTTCAAAAAACCTCCTGGTACTGAGAAACACAACGATAAATGAAAAACGTAATGGCGTCATTACGTTGCCATGACGACTCCGATTGCAATAAAACCCAGATCATAAGAAATTTTCATCTTTATATAATACAGTTGTGGTAACCCTTTTTCCATATCGTTACTCATGCCGACGTAGTTAATGCTCAAACTTGGGAGGTATCAACCCCAAAAAATCCAGTCGAGCCACCTTAAAAAGGGAATGCGGTTGACCCTAAGTGAAAGACTAGTGAAAAGGAAGCTGGTGTAGGAGAAAGAGTTAGAACCAACTTAAATTGGTCTTCTTTGAAACTCTTATAATTTTTCTCAAAATTGCCGTTTTCACACCAAAGAAGGATTATCCGTCTCAGACAAGGCCTCGGTGTTGGATAATTGTCGGATTTTGAAGACGGATTATCCTCTCCGAGGCAGATAATCCGTCTCCAGTGTGAAAACGACCAGTTGTTCTAAAAAAGTAATGGAGGAGGCTCATGCGAACTCATTTTGGAGGTATAAACCCCTATCTGTACGGTGCCTTCGAAAAAAAAAAGAGGCATGATCATGATCGCAGGTTAGTTCCAAACTCGCCCAGGTGTTGTGATATACTCAACCCCTCCCGTTTTTTTTGTTTTTTCGTTTTGTTTTGTTTTGTTTCTTTTACTTCTCCGTTCGCTTTGTGCCGTTAAATCTTTCTAATTTCGCTGATATGATCTCGGAGGAACAGCAGGCCTCACGGCTAGGAGTGGGACCAAGGGACAACACCATTCCCAACCCTATCCCAGAGAGTAAATAAATCATTGATCATCGACACGTCAACTGTGACAGTTGCTCAAGATCTCGTGCATCATGAGGTTTTCCTTGAATTATCTACTTCTTTTTGCCTTGATTTTCTCTGTAAGTGGGGCTGAAGATGAGGAAGTCACTATAGAGGTTGTAGAAAAGCCAACAGACTGCGAACGTAAATCAAAAGACGGAGATCTCTTAGCCATGCATTATACAGGCCGTTTGGAAAAAGATGGCTCGATTTTTGACTCCAGTCATAATCGCGGGCAGACGTTTGATTTTACTCTTGGTAGAGGTCAGGTAATTCAAGGCTGGGAACAAGGTCTTAAGGACATGTGCGTTGGAGAGAAAAGGAAGCTTAGGGTTCCTGCGCATCTTGGTAAGTTAGTAGTCGACTTTGTTCGAACGATCGATCGAAACGTGAGTCGTGTAAAGGAATGTGTGACGTTCAGAAAGCTAGAATGTTTCGTCTATGGTACGCACATTTCATTTGTCTGTACGACCAGCTTACAATTGAGCGTAACTCTAAAGCTAAATCATTTCTGTGAAGACTCGAGAGACTGAATAGAAGCAATGTTAAGGAAATTTTTCTTTGTGCTGTAGCTTGAAAAGAACAGGTCACATAAAGGCCCTTTGTTAGCTGTAAGCTTATCTTCGATTACCGTTTACCGTTATGGCCAGCTTTCTGTTTAGTCCCTAGAATAAAAAAAATATTCATTCGAAAATAATATAATAAGTTGTCATAAGAAACAGAGCTGTTTTGTCAAACTATAAAATAAGATAAATCCCCCACCCCCTCCCCACCCCTTTTTCATCACTGTATCACTCCTCTTATATACAGTCAACCTAATCAGCGGTCACCCTCTATTAAAGATTGACTTACAAAAGTCTAGCCTGCATAGCACAGGGAGAGAAGCAATGACTGCAGCGCTGTAGCTAGTATGAGGCCAACCGAGGCACTCGCCTCGGTAAAATTTTGACCAATTTCGCCGATCGTTTTTATTTTACATAAGTGATCGTCGGATATTTTTAACGCATCATGATATTACAAAGAATTCAGCAATTCAGTCAATATACTATGAAAAAATTACCATATCATCGATCTCAAGGGGCTACGTACGTTAACTCAAATTTTTTTTGAACAAATACTGATCAAAACCATTGGCGAGGTTAACGGTCACCCAGATTATGTAGCTTGTTTCTGATTATTGCTTTTTAAATTCCACTTAAATTAACTCGAAAAAAAGTTACCGAAAGGCCCAGAAAACGCTGCAAATCGCATTTCCGAGAGACTAAAGTTCAAAATTTCTTGGGGGGGGGGGCATGCCCCCAAACCCCCCTAGCAACTCCCGCCTGCCTCGGTTGGCCGTTTGGTCTGGCTAGGGCACTGGACTGGAAATACGTCTGTGCTTCGCAGGCTAACAAAAGTCTGGTGTAGACTCGACTCTATTAAACAGTCACTGTCAAGATGTACCAGGTCTATGGGATGGCTATGCCCCTGACAGAGATAGCCCCTCTCTGCAGATGTTCTTTTGGCTCGTCATGCAGGAACAAGTGACCAACCCTTAAGAACATATGCATGGGAGGCTGAGACAGGGACTGTTAGGTGGCATTTTTACATATGGAAACATTTTATGCTCTGTAACTTAAAGTAAATATTTCTGACTTTCATGTTGTATGTATTATGTTTGTCAGGTTACGGCGATCAAGGAGCTGGCAGTGTGATCCCACCAGGGGCAAATCTTTTGTTTGATGTCGAACTGATAGAAATTAAAGAGGGTGATAGCGAAGAAGAAGGGGATCAGGGAGGGTCCCCCCCAGATGTGTTTGGGATGATCGACAAGGACAAAAACAAGGAGCTAAGCATTGAGGAAGTCAAAGATTACCTGAAAGAACAACAAGGATTCCCAAATGATGATGAATCCAACCATGAAACTATTTTATCCGAAATTTTTGAACATGAAGACAAGGATAAAGATGGAGTTATTTCATATGAAGAGTTCACTGGACCAAAACATGAGGAACTTTAGATTCTTATTTATAAGAAATAATAGCAAAATTTAGCTGTTTTTAGTGTTGCATTTTTCTTGAAAATGGAGGAATGTCTATATCTTCCCAGGCAAAGATAGTCAATGTTTGTTATAAAATAATAAAATTTCAGACATGACATCATTAGTTCATGTTTTTTTTTGTGATGAATGACTCTAGTGCCTTAAAGATGGGCCTGTATCATACGTTTTATGAGGTTTGGGCCAGTAAAACTACTGCAAGTACTTCTTGCCTATCATTCCAGCAATCACTCCCTTAAAATTTTGCACCACATGACAGGGGCTCCCTACAACGCTTTCCTCTCAAAAACCATTTTATACTACCTAAAGTGCTTTAAAACTCTGCAAATACTATATTAGCAGCACTGTTTGGTCTTCCCAGGGCAACTTAAACCTTTTTGAGAATGGCTTTCCCAAATATCAAAAATAAAATGCCATCAAGAAACACCCTAACCACATAACTTAAGTAATGGTTTCACCTTGTGTGCTTTTTGAAAGCCTGTATATGTTATATACCAAATAATCCTGGTATTTATCAATGCAAAATATAACCTCCTAAAATTATAGAAGTCTTTGAGAAAGCATAATATATTGGCATTTTTACAGTAACAGTTGAATTCTATACATTGTTTATATACGGCCCATTGAAACTTAGCAGAGAGGTGGACATGGTCAATTGCTGATATCATAGACATCTCTGTGTCTGAGACCTTGAAGGATAGTGTTATAGATATGGTTGAAACTAGTTCATTATTACGAAGCGATGTCTTTAATTTCTGTTATTAATGACATCAATGCACAAATGTCCAGTTTTTTCCCCTCTTACCCCTCCCTCGCAGTTAGAGAAATCGTGAGAGTCTGGGACCAAATATCAAAAGCAACTTCCACTGGAAGAAGATACCAGTTCTTGTTTCATATTTCCCTCGCAATTTTTGCGAAGTAAATGTTGTTCTCGTCGTCCTTGCTTAACAAGAATTTAGAGAGACAGAATCTCCTTTAATCTACCTTTATCATGAGCCAGATACCTTCGGGTATTTCTCGTTTAAAGACGCCAAGCAGAGTTGTGAAGCCAATTCATGGCGGCGGCGGTCCGGGTAGCACAGGTCAAACTCCTTCAGTCAAACCACGTGGCGCTGCAGCTAGTTCTGCTCAGCAGACAACATCAACAGTGCAACCAAGAACTAGTCCTTCAGGGGGAAAACTTAACCAGACAACGACTGGGCCCGTTAGAAGGGGATCACAAGCAACCGAAAATGGCAAACTAAGCGCAAGCAGCAGTCGGGAACGTTTAGTGAGTCCTCGAGGCTCAGTCGCTGGCGGACAGATTGCACAACCTCGATTACCCTCGAGAGAAAATTCTCAAACAAGACTACAGTATAGGAGAGAAAGTTCAAGTTCTAGTTTACGTGGAAGTTCGTCAAAAACAGATTTAACACAACCTACTGTAAGGAGACGTGGCGAAGCATCTAGAACGGCAGAAAGTCAGGCGGCATCTGACTCATCCAAGTCAAATTTGCGTAACTTGTTCAAAATAGGCGATCGTGTTTTGGTAGGAAATGCAAACGCTGGCGTTATAGCATTTATCGGAGAAACTCGTTTTGCCAAAGGCGACTGGGCTGGGGTAGCTCTGGACGAACCCGTTGGAAAAAATAATGGTAGCGTTCAAGGTGTCCGATATTTTGATTGTGAACCGAGTCATGGAATATTTACAAAACTAGAGAAGTTGACAAAAATAAATCAGATCCCTAACGACATTCGGAAATCTTCGATAAGTGAAAGTGGAAATGACAAACCGAAATCAAGCATTAAAATTGGCGATCGTGTTGTAGTAAGCGGGACGAAACATGGAGTTGTGAGATATTTGGGAGAAACTGGATTTGCAAAAGGAGTTTGGACCGGCGTGGAATTAGACGAACCTCTGGGTAAAAATGATGGAGCAGTGGCAGGAACAAGGTAAAACTTTCATTTTATTGCGTTTTTACAACCTTTCAGACGTTATGTATGTCGTGCAGGGAAATGCCATAGCGATAAATTTTTAAAAAGTGGCGAGAATTATAATGCGATTCTCTCATTGTTTACTTTTTTCCCACAACGATACATGTCGTTTTGGTGTTTATAGCGTGATTTATGTTTAATGACAATGATAATTTGACGAGATAAACATGGTTAAACTTGGAATAGATGTTTTCTATTGCCCTTTGATGTCTAATCGAAAAGGCGATTTGTAAAAGTAAACACATGATTCGCGATTTATATTTCTGTACACAACGCCACGTCGACTGAGATGTCAACATCTTTGCTACGATTGGCATGCGCCATAATTATTTTGATGCAAAATATTTGTTTTTGTATTCTCAGATGTCCTGATTTACACCTCATACTCTTAGAGAATTATCACCTTTACCTGCTTTTTGAGAATCTTTATATGTTCAAGTCTGTTAATCAAAGACAATTGGTGGTTCTTAACTTAGAATATTACATAATCATGAAATAATATACTTCCGATATTGGAGTTAGGATAATTATCAGAGTGATTTTAGCATTTCTTTGCCGTTATGGAAGCAGTATTTAAGTGTTGTTGGATCAAATTTTGGATAATAAGCCCGCAAAAGTTTTTCTACAGCATTTTTTTCATTGCTGAAAAGAATATGCGACACAGTTGGTTGGACAGTTGGAATAGTGACAATTCCTGCAGGGCACAAATATTTGAAAAGTTATAACCTTAGTTTAGTAAATCATGTTGTGAGAAATTGTATGGAGATAAAATTGGCATGAATTTGGGCATCCTATGGCAGGCTTTTCAGCTTGTGAAGCAATCATCGCACCAATAATAGTTGCACACTTGCCTTTCGTTTCTTTTTTGCTTTGCAAATGTGAGAATTTTCTCTGGAGAAGGATTATTATGCGTCAATATTGTTTGAGGTTAAGCTAAAAATATATAATATCCTCCCTTAAATACTTCACATACCTTAAAAAGGTATGTATAAGGTATGTAAAGCTAGGTATTCGTTATTAATTTTTCATCAGATGAAACCAAAAATAAAATACAGTAACTCACTTTCAATATTTTAAATTAAAATTTGACAGTGAGTCCTGGAGGACACGGACAAAGAAAGCTAAGACATATGTTAGTTCATTTTGTTTGTTAGTGTCCCTTAGGACTTGCTATCATGCTGAATTCTAATGTATCACAAGTGAGCGAAAGAGAATATAATGTTTATGCCAAAGCTCCATAAATGAGACAGTTACAATAAGAAAGAGAATGGAAATGGTAGTGATAATAATTACTGCAAGAGAGAGCTCTTTTGACTGACTGTTAGGGCTGTCAAAAGTTGTCTCAGGGGTTTCAGTAAGCATCGACAGGCGACAAAACATGTCGGCTACTTTGCTTATAGAGGTTGGCTACTTTTTTCCAAAAAGAAGAAGCAACTAGTTTGAATGACATTGTAAACATAAAATTATTATCATAAAATCTGAATGAAAACATACGATGTGTTTTCATAAAGGCCTACTAGTTTTACGTTATGTTTTAGTCATGTGAATGCTATGTTTCAGTCATTTTTTCACAAGTTTGTGTATATGTTTACGCGAAAGTTGTTTACGTGCAAAAGAACATTATTTAGTTTTCATCATTTGTTCATTGCTTGTAGGAATTGATTGTGTGACTGATAAATTGAAAGCTACATTTTCTCGAATGAAAAACATGCTCTAATGTCCTCAAATTTAGTCCCCAGAATGCTGAAAATCACATGTTAGGGCTTTGAAATTTCAAAATTTCCTGGGGAAGCATGCCCCTTGACCCCCTCTCCTCCTAGAAAAAGTGGACTAACGACCCCTTGTCAATACAGTCAGTTACTATATTCAATTCTGCTTTCTACTGCAGTTTTAATTGAAACCCCTGAGTCTGTTGCCTCTTGGTTATGTCAGTCAGCCACTCTGTTTTGTAGTTCTTTTCTAGAGAGTATTTATTAGTGAATTGGTAAGAGTCCGTCCTCTTTACCTTTTCACTGCCGGAGTACTTGATGGAGTTTTGTAAGGTGACTCTAACTTTTGAGTCAGTGGACGAAGTGAAAGGTCTCTGCCTGTAGTTACACATGGTACTATTTATTTTTCAAAATTTCACAAAATGAAATTTTGAAATTTGGTCGAAATTTGCTTTTGGCTAAATTTGGCAGTGAAAGGGTTAATAATATAGAAAGTGCTGAAGGGCAATTCCACATGAGACAACGAAATTTTGAATTTTTTAAAATAAAATTTTGCACAATGAAACTTAACCAACAGAAAGCTGAAACAATGGGCTGTTTGAAATTACTGAGATCTTGTGCGTCCTGTCCATGTGCTTAATGTGAGAAGGCATGAAATCCAGAGAATTTGAATCTCATTATATTTGGAATTTTTGGAAGGAAATCTTAAACAAAGTTTTAACATCTAAGAAAACATACAGTTGACGTAAAAGTATGTGTGTATTATAACCTTTGCCTTACACTATCATTAGGCTATAAATTATTATCCAGCTACTGGCACTTTCCCAAGAAAATTGACATTGAATTTTTGTTGCGGACATTACGTAATGTCCGCAACGTTAAGGTACCTTTTTTCAGTTCCTGTACACAGTGTGCTGTATTTTCATGTGCTATTGATGCTGCTCAGTTAGTCTGATGTATACTCTATTTTAATCTCAAAACATTTGCTGGGTGGGTTTTCTTTGCTCAGAAATTATCCGTTGAAAAGTGTTGCGGACATTACGTTGCGGACATTACACATGTTAGATTTTTCATTTATTCAGGCTCTTGCAGATATTTAGTTCTTACTATCTCTGAATTAAGATTCAGACAACAGCCCACTTAACACTAAATTGCTGTTTATTGATATGTACAAAATTTGTACATTTACATTTAATGTAAATGGCAAATTAAAAAGAGCTGGTAGCTTTTCCGTAAAATGTCCAATGAAATTAATTTACAAACTATTAAAAACATTCTAAATAATTTACTATTTCTCTGTGATATTCTTGAAAATGGGCAAACATAGTGATTTTCAAATTAGTTACTTCCATAAAATAGTATAGATGCATGACGAATTTTGCAGTACTTTAACAGAAAAACAGAAAAATATTTTAAAGAGTT